ATGGAGAAGGTTAGATCCGGCAACTCTTAGGCAGTTAGGGTTAATATTCCCTTAATGTGAGATACAACCTTGTGTGACAATAAGGCCATTCAGAGGTGAGACCATGTTAGTTCAACAAACAGCATCCATATAAAATCTGTTACGGTTGCTGTGTGGCATGCTGAGAAGGGAAAAAATTAGGGTACCCTGCTGATATCAACAGAGCAGATCTGCTAGCTCCTTTACATGTATATCAAAGGCAGTTCTTCCAAGTTAAGGGTGTTAATGCTGACGCAGTGTTGGTTGAGGTATCCACAGAACTGTAGTGTGCTGTTTGCAGCCATTGATTGGTCTAAAATATGTTTTCTATGATTTAAATAGGACATCAGGTGTTACGGACCACTTTGCAGAAGATGACGGCCATGCCTTGTACCTGGCCAGAAGAACAGTCGCCAACCTCAACAGGAAGAAATCAATAAATGTAAGCAAGACCAACAGACTTGAACCCGAGTCGGACACTCGGACTCCAGTCGCATGACGCTATGATTTTTAAGTTGGACTCAGGGTTAAGTGATTTTGAATTTACAGACTTGATAAGTAACATGAGATGGGGGCGCAAGAGTAAATGACCACGACTTAGCACTTAGAGATGGGGCTTAGGCCTTAGGTGCATGTACAGTCAAACAGCATGACAGACAGGCTGAGACTTTTATTCGATCTAACCCATTCAAGTCCTTCAAAATCCAAGCAGACGTTTTGAAGGATTTTGAAAAAATTGGGAAAAGTACACCGTAGGATTTTATGCCCAAGAATGTGTCACTGGGTCCCTGTGCAGTTAAGACTTTGGAAGGCTCCAAGGTGAAAATGTCTAGGAAGTTCACATGGAAGAAACATATTGTGCCTTGAAACATCCGGAGTATTCCAATAGGAATACGGTCTGTTTTCCCTCACTGGGAATGTTGCACTGGAAATTCCAGCTCACCATTGTGCGTTTAGTTTAAAAAGAATTGGAACATTAATGTAATTGAGACACTCTTCATCGATGCCCAACTTCTGAAATGGTATATTTATAAGTGTGCTTATTCATACATGTAGTTACTGATAATTCCTTTTTGTCGGCATGTTTTAACTCACAATTGAAATATTTGTTCTTTTTTCTCCAGATTCCAATTCAGGAGCCGCAGGACCCAATTTATCCCATAGATGAACTGTATGGCATCGTCCAGAGTGACTTCAGTAAAGTGTACGACATCCGAGAAGTCATAGCCAGGGTTGTGGATGGCAGCGTGTTTGACGAGTTCAAGACACTTTATGGAGACACGTTGATAACAGGTGGGCCAGGCATTTATGGCAAACAGCGAAAGAGTGAAGCAGCTGTTAGAACTTTACAAATGACCTTCAGTGAATTGTCTTCACCGTGTTGAAATAAAAATTAATGGCAGAAGAGGTTCATGAAGTGTTTGGACAGTTTATGGAGATATGACATGGATTACAGGACGTCACAGGGTTAAAAATGCATATATTGAGGGTGTAAATGATTTAATTTTAGTAGTTGCATTGTTTACCAATATGGTAAGTATATAAAGATATGGATGACAAAAAAAATTGAGGAAAGATGATTGTTCGTGGGATCAAGCTTACTGATAAACTTTTTCATCACATTTGTGCAGGATTTGCTCACATCCATGGCTACCCAGTCGGTATCCTTGGTAACAATGGGGTGCTATACTCGTCGTGTGCTCTGAAGGTGAGAACAATCTGAATATCTCATGAGTCATGAAACAATGATGACCATCAAAGTGATTTCAAGATATTGAGTGTAGTAGTCAGCATCAGCCGTATCACATTGAGTTGACTGGGACTCCCGCAGCACGTGCATGCAAGCTCTGTTCTGTTTTGAAACTTTTGTAAATATCGGTTGTTGAAAACGTGCTCCCCATGTATGAAACAGTGCAAATTATATTGCATTCCGTATCGTTTTTATCAAAAGTGACTAAGAGGCGTCCATCAAAGTACAGACGGTTGGTGCATGCTGGGCCTGGCTTGTTAATCCCTTCCACCCCAATCGGTATGAGGCCAGATGCAGCCTGGTTTCTGATGTGTGACACCCCTGTTCTTGTGAAGTGTTACATGTAACTGAGGGTTTGAACAATAGGCAGCATGTAGACTGAAGACTGGCCATTGCTAGAGGCTTATTTGGCCCAGTGGGCTGACTGTGGAGTGGAAAGACGAGGAATTGAATATCCCAAATTGCTCTTCATGGTGGTCACCCAGGTTGTGACATAGAGGCCCAGTGGAGTTCATCCAGGCCCGCTTGGTTCAATCTGAAGTCCCAATCCCTTTGGAGATACCGGCTGGTCTCACAGCAGGCGGTCATGGAAGGGACTCTAAACTATTTGATGACACTCCTCAATTGTACTGGAAATCTCGGACGGACTTAAGGTTAGCTTAAACCCCTTTGCTACGGAGGACTGCTACTACCACCGCAACATTGTGTGAGGATTAGTGCATACCTCACATACAGTCTATTCACCATGCAGCTGTTGGTTCAATGGGGCCTGCTGCTGGACAAAGCCCTCCATTCAGGGCATACCACTGCCCAGCAGTCACGGTCAAAATAATCCTGCCGTGAAGAGGATAAGACACTTTCAATTACAGTATTTCATTAATTGTATTTTTTGGCAACATGTGTTTTTTTTTTGGCAGGCTGCTCATTTCATACAGTTGTGCTGCAAGCGAAAAATTCCGCTCCTCTTCCTACAGAATATCACAGGTGAGATTGTTTTGCTCATAATTACTCATTATTTCAACCACCAAACCCACTGTGAAGCTCGGGGTAAATTGGCTCCATGAAAAAACCATGTTGTAATTTTCCCCAGTTTAGAATCCATTATCACAGTTTTTTTGTGTGAACAAGCCTTGAGGCTGACCCTGTGGCAGGTTATGCCCTCTGGAAAGTTCATGAATCGCAAAATGAATAATCATGGGGATCAGGGGTAACAATATCTTGAAGCACATGGGCCCTCGGGCAAAAATCACCATTTGAATCTCGAGATCATCATTGGTTTAGATGCAGAAATACATTGCTCTGTTTTCTTCTAACCCGCCGACCCTGTCTTCCCACAATGCATAGGTTTCATGGTCGGTCGTGATGCGGAGGCAGGAGGCATAGCTAAGAACGGAGCCAAGATGGTGACTGCCGTAGCCTGCGCCAACGTTCCCAAGATCACAATCATCGTAGGCGGGTCATTTGGTGCTGGCAACTATGGAATGTGTGGACGGGCTTATGGGTAAAGAACAGAACTTCTCTGGATATTTGTTCAAAAATTGTAGATCCTAATATTGAAATGAGCGGATTCCCATTTCATAGATGCTTGGACAGCAAGTGTGATAAGATAGTTATTGGAGGAACCTAGAATGCATTGTTTTAGGGCAGTATGAACTCCGCATGTGTCAGTTTAAATTCACCTGGCGCCTGTCGATCCAGGGTACAGAAGAATGCGTGAAATGAAAAGAAAAATGAAAGAGAAACTCAAGAGTGCAGCAAATTTATTAAGGTTTTGAAATTACATCCTTTCAGACTTCTGGAAAACCATGCATGCACTAATGATATTGAGGAAATACATTGTGACGACGTTAGTGGAATACCTGTCTGAGAAGTCATTGAAACATGAATGAAATCTTTCCTGAAGCATGTTAAATCACTTTCATAGCGGTGTATTTAGTCGTTTATGTGTCGTACTTCTTCTTGTATATGTAGTCCACGATTCCTGTACATGTGGCCTAACGCTCGTATCTCTGTCATGGGTGGCAAGCAAGCAGCATTGGTTTTGGCTCAGGTACAGAAAGCACAAAGACAACGAATGGGCCAAGAGGTAAGATGTAAACACATTAGATTTGCCAACTGTAACGTTATCTCTCAACGTGCACCTCGTTGAATAAGCTTAGAAACTCTGCATCGGTTTCCTAGTGCTTATAACTCATTTTAAGGTTGGGATTGGGGATGTCAGGTATGGTGTCCACATAGCTTTGTATAGAGAAAGTTTTGACGTGTGGTCAAGTGGTTGGCATGTCACATTTAGATAGTTGATTGTTTGCAGGGTATATGAACACCCAGCATGCCTGCGAGGTACATGTAGCACTGTCATGACAGACTTTGGGACCAAAATGGCTCCCAGTGTGAAGTTGTCGCAACTCTCGTGTCATGCATGTAGACCTTGTGCAGAGGCCAAGGCCGTTTCCAAAAACTGGCTTAAAGAGCTATGGGTATGTCTATTGTCTGCACATTTCCATATGTTTTCTATATTTTTCCAGCAACATATTCGGATGCAGCTCAAATCTAAGCTAAACATGCATTCAACTCTGTGGACTTTTGTACATGTACAGAATGAATAGGAATGGAAATTTGATAGTCTGATCTGTCACCGTGGTAACACACTCTCTGTACAACTGTCACAGAATGTCACTGTAGATAACACATCTTCCAGCGTGAATAGCGAAACATTGAAGTCCATACTGAGCTGACAGACCTTCCATGAATATGCACAATGTGTTCAGCAACCTGTGCTTAGTTGAAAGACATTTCGTTTCCAACAGCACATGTTGCCAGGTTTTCTTGTGAAAAATTAATGTGACCAAACAACCGTGACTTTTGGAAACTAGGGCCACTTTGGTTGGGGTTCAGTGCCTGCAAATTTCACATTGTGATACTATAAAACCATAAATACTATGAAGCAATAGCCGTGATGACACGTTAAATAAATAAATAATTCATCGGGAAAGAACAATTATTGGGAGGTATTTTATGTCAGTTGTGTTCATGCATCATGTGCTGCGCCATCTGGGATGTTGCAAAATTTCATCTTTACACGTCTTTGTGTTATATTCTGTGATGTTTACCATTTTGAATAACGACTAAACCATATAATGAAATTTTTGAAAGGAATGCCTGCCCTGAAATGGCTGCAAATTTCACATTTTGAGATTGCTTTTTTATTTCAAAAGTCTGATCGGCAGGACGCCAATCCAATGTCTTTATAACACATATATAGAGAGAGCTGATGAAAAAAGTACATGTACATGGTTTGATTAACGTCTGATGCAACGGCCATTTTTGAGGCTTGCATTTCCATATTTTCCAGCCATGTTAAGCCATCCCAATACAAACTCCCCAATTACATTAGGTTCCAAACCTTTACCCAGGTTTTTTTCTCAAAACCCAGCCAAAATGCAAGATACTGGAGGATGGTTTCATTTTTTTCGCCCACAGTTTACGGCAGAGGAGCAAGAAGCATTAATGAAACCCATCTTGGAGAAGTATGAACAAGAAGGAAGTCCTTACTACTCCAGTGCCAGGTAAGAGGTTTTCCAATCACATCGCCTACTGCCACTGTCTGAGATACACGTACACCAATGTATTTTGATTTGCCCTGGACAAGTTTCTTTACATCCAGGGTAAAGCCCTATAAGTCACAAACTGTTCTCTCTGGGAGAAGAAACAAAAAGAAATGTAGAATTTCAGAGGGAGGAGGAAATCCTGGACAGATAAATGTCTTCCTTGGATAGCCCACGGAATCAGGTTGAGACTGAAATCCAACAGAGGTTATGCATTGATGTCAAAGAGGCTGTTTTTGTTATTTTAATTTTAGTTCCACCTACAATGAATGCACAAAAGGTTTACCCAAGCATATCCAAGTGATACCAAACCCTTGCCCTCTGAGGATGCGTTGATGCATAATCTCTATCCACACGGGTGGGATTCGAACTCCAGGTCGCAGAGGAGAGTATTACTTGACCAACCTGACTCCAGTCCATAAAAATGCATGTTACCCTTACTCCTCGCATATCATGTCAGCTTTGAGCTGTCCAAACTCAGACTTTGACCAAAATATCACTGGTATTCACACTTTTTTATGTAGACTGTTGATAACATTTATTATAGCAGGGATCAGTGAATTTGCGCAAAGGACTTTCATTTGTGTTAGTGGTTAATGTTTGTCATTTTTATTCTATCAAATCCATTTATTAGAAATTTGTCGATCCATATATCAGTCCCCTTGAAGACAGACTGTCCGCAGAAATTGTTTTTAAACCGCAAAGGTCTTGTTTTCATGCAAGACCCTGTGACTGGCACAATTAAAAAGATACACCAAGTCTGTCTGCATCGTAGAACTGTCCACGCAGCAGTGAGCCGAGACATTCACTCTGACTTACTTTGAAACATTTGGTACTAAAGAAAAATGTGTCGGAAAGCACTCGTTAGAGGCAATGCAACTGTGGCTTGACCCGTGACAGTTGTGCATGCCTTACGTGTAAAAGAAACGTATCTCACCTCACTGCAGACAACTCTTAAATATAACTTTATTCCTCCCGATGTGCACTGGAAAGTCATTACTTCCAATAGATGACTCTCATATCGCTTGTAAGTTATATCAGTGGCCAAAACTTGTAGAAGTAGCACCTTTTGGTTTACTTTTGATTTTACCTCAAATTCATTCAAAATGGACATTTGTCCCATTACATGTATTTTCAAAGAGGGTTGTATTTTCATTAAGTATTTAGTAGTACATTTATTAGCAGTTTTTCTGGTAGCTGTGTGGGTGTTTAAGCACTTCGTGAATTATTCATTTCATTTTTGTACCGACGGCCAGCCATAGTTTTTAGCAGCCACTTGTAGGAAAAACAGGACTGTGACGTCAAAGAAGCAGGCTTTATATGATCTTAGAATATAACAAGTACAACAGAGCAACACTTCTGTACAATTTTTCCCCTCCGTGTAGGTTATGGGATGACGGAGTGATAGACCCTGCAGATACACGCACTGTCCTAGCTCTGAGTTTAAGCGCTGCCCTCAACGCACCTGTACAGAACACAGACTTCGGTGTCTTCCGTATGTGATGATATTCAGTATTCAGAGATGTGAAATGGTATCATGATTCAGGAAAACCTCTGAGTAAATTAACTGTTTGTTTTGTCAACCCAAACATGAGCTGAAAGCGTCGTCGACAGTGGAGTGGACTTTCTGAAGGCAAGAAAATAACGCCAAAAAGAATATTAAAGCCAGAGTAACCTCTGTTACATCACAAGTCTGCTGCCTTCTTGCACACCAAGGTGCATGGCCTTCTGGAAGGGTTATTAAAATCAATGGATCGTAGAGTTCCTTTCCCCACACACACACACTACTGGTTGTGCTTTGTATAAGATCCCTGCTTTGGTTAGTACAGTCACCTTGGAAAGTTTGAAAATCCTGGAATGAGTACAATTGTATAAGTTTTGTTGAAAGTTGAATCAAACCTCCTACGTATTAAGACTTCCTGTCTGTAGCAAGTAGCAAAGTAAATCTATTCAATGTGCTATTTATTCAACACACATGGTTCATTTTCAAAGCAATTTGTTTGTCCCTGGGTTGAAAGTGCTTCATGGATGAAGAGATCTGCTCTTCATAGGAGCAACGTTTGCATTGTCCAGTGTATACTAGTGTGTATTTGTTCTTTTACAATTTATTTTATCGGGGAATGCAAACCGTGGACTTCTGTTCTTATGACATATCACACTTTTGTGTTACATTCGTGCATTCCTATGGTGCTCAGTGGACCATGTGCCCACACTGGCTCCGTGGAAAAGTGGAGATATAAACAAAGTGTGATGTCATCAGTACATAGGCCTATTGCTTTTGCAGCACGACGCCCAAGAAGTTACCATTTGGGGTCATTTCCCCCTCCCAGTGCATTATGGGAAGAGTCAACACCTGCTCAGTATAATGGAATCCCTTGCCCAAGGACTCGGGTTTAACATTTTCTTGAAGTGCACACTTTGGAATGCTCTTAAATGATCCCGTTTCTGTAGTATCATAAAGACCAAGGAACAGATGACTATAGATCGTCATTTAAACCATGCCAAAGTGCTGGATGGTATGCTGTACTTGTGGGTCATTCCTGTCTGCTCTGTGAAGCTCACTCTTACCCAATTTCCCCTACAGGGTTCAGGGAAGGGCAAATGCAAGATGCCAATTTTTGTCTAACAGTCATTGGATAGCCTAGAGGTCATCTGAACAATAACGCATGTCAACACGACAGGTGCACACGGAATGTACATGGACGTGTGTGGATTAGGGCAGACAGTAGCTTGCAATATTCCGAGTGTCTGCAGATTTCCTTCGCAGGCATTTGTTCTCGGCGCCCTGACTTAAACGGGTTGAAAGGAAGAGGGAACTCCATGCAGGCACACGAGATAGCAAGTGTTTATCTAGCAAGGATGGTCCTTTGACGGAAACTCATATATGTACACAGGATTATGCACTTTCCCAACCACCTGTCCCATCTTGACTAATTAGGGAATGACTACCGGTAATAAAAACACTGTCAAAGAAACGACCAAGGCTTCCACTCTTTGTTGCATGATCACACATGGTAGTTAATACTGGTTTAATACCTAAAACATTGGTTTCAGTTGGATTGAAATAATTAAAAATATTAAAAGCACACAGGAAAAAACTTGTTTGAATACAGCAAAGTAAATGACGGTAGAAATGGTACATAAAGTACAGAAGTTAGAGAACCAGTTCTAGAACCAGTGGGGAATATTCACACTTCAAAATGCACAGTGACAAAATTTTCATCTAAACTCTAGGTCTCAGACAATTGTTCTCAGATCTTTTTATAAAGACCCTTTTTGAAAAGCAATCCTCTTGTTTTATTTCGATTGGTGTGCAAAGAAATCGTTCCAGCCTGCAACCCAGGCTTGTGGTGCATCCAGCCATTGCATTGTAGTTTGAACAGTTTCAACTGTGATCGTCTTGAATGGCAGTGCGGAATGGAAAATTACTGTTTTGAGTCCATGTCTTATTAAAGTAATTTTCTCCATTTCAATCAACCACAAGTCATTACTTGAGATTCAGCCCAAGTTGAATGCATCTTGGCCTGAAGTTTGTTGAAAACCAAGATGCGTTCCCAACTTTGGATGAAGCCATCTTCGAATGGCATTTGTCTGGACTGGATTCAAGTCTTAGCAGGTGTCTAGTCTGGTGCCATTTAAAAATAACCTGGGCCATTTTTGTCTATGCAAATGTTCTTCTATTCATAGTAGTATAGCAGGCCATTGGTGATTGATGCCCGGGTACATTTGTTCCTCAAATTCCACTTTGAATGCGAGGTGACTGGAAGGGATTTGTGCGTGAGGAGAGCACCACAGAACAGCAGTCAGGGGCGGGGGGGGGGACACCTGCCGGATCATATAGGGACTAAAAGCCAAACCTATGTTCCTTTGCAGATAAAAAATCGTACAACTTGCCCTCCAAGTTACAACCGTATGGCTTGATGTCACACAAACTCAGGCTTGAATTGAGTCTAACTGAGCAGAAAACTTTACAACACGTTCTGTTAATTGCCTGTAAAAACATTAGAGCAATCCTGAGACTTGAAGTGTACTGACAATCTACATGGAAGCTGTACATTTATCTCTATTGCTTTAAGACCAACTACACTTATTCACCTTATAATTTTGTACCTCAAACGTATTCAGCTTCCTGGTTTTAAAACCAGGTTTAAAATCTCACAAAGACGTCCTGTTTTAATAACCTCCAGACTCAAAAGTGAATGGCATTTACATAAAGTCTTGAACAAAGTATTCTGTAGCACTTGGTTAGAGACTGAAGATGCGAGAGTTCATGTACATGTAAATGATTCTGTGGCCTGGGTTCTTAATCAAGACATGCAGCCATATATGTTATCTGCATTTTACCCAAGCTGAAGTCTCCTTTCAACTTCAAAATAGCAGCTACTTTGAATTTTTTGACATTTCTTAAATAATCAGTTCCGACTACTGAATTCAAAATGGACAACTGCTTTTCTTTTACAAGGACAACTACTTCTCACAACAAACAAACATGGGCACAGTGTTCATGGGACACCCATCGATTATGATGCATCCATTTCAACCTGGCTATTTAAAGGGGAATGTTTGGAAACAATCGCACCTTCTGCTAACCCATACCATTTCTTAACACAAAATTATGTGTACAATCCACGCCAGTGGGGTTCCCCTTTCATACATGGAAGAAAAGACTGGCAATAACGAAAGGCATCCACAGTCCATGAGAGCAAACATATCTGCAGTTTTGAGAAACAGATGTAGTGATCGACCATAATGTACCATATCTTCCTGAAATAGTAACTGCAAAAATTATGCACAAAAACAAAACACTCGAAAGTATTTCCAACACCTTCAGGAACTTCTCAAGGTCTGAATTTACACGCACTTTCTCACCCTCTTATTAAAAATTTCCATTTTGGTTTCGACAAATGACTACAAATTGATTCTTGTTATACACAGCATAGAAAAAAATCTGGCAAAGTGCCAGAAAATGTACAATTCCTTTTGTCTTCTTTATCTTCATTGAAAACCTGAGAAAACTGGGGAACAGCTAGAATTCTGAAGTGCTCAGTGGATAGTAGACACCCGCAGTCTATCCAGGAAAAAAAAAAGCTGAACTTTGGTTGTACTTGCTCAAAACTATTCCAAAAAATAATACTCTGTAAAAATGGATATTGTCTGGCTAGGGCTATTTTCAGTAGCCTGCAAATGGTTAGAAAGCAAAGCTGTAGCCACAAATTACTAGACATAGCTGAATTGTCGTTCCACGTGATCCTCATAAAATGTCAACCACAGGTGGTTTTTTTTTTCAGATTATGGAAAACAGGAATGGACAGTGATCAGTTAACAACTGATCCGACCTAAACAAAACAGGGTGGAATGACTGCCTAATGCAGTGTTGCGTTGACTGCAAAAAAGCCATCAGTTCTCCGGTCTACTGTAGGTTTTGAGGAGGTTGCACACCCTGTATGCCCGTGTATGGCCACAGCACCGTGCCACTATCCACTGAGCATCGGAACCTTCTGCTTCGCCCGAATAAAAGGCCACCACCCTTGAGACCAAATTCACAAGTAAAATGCACCGCAACAAAACACCATCCCTATGCAGGGACGCACTGCACTGCAACAGTAAGAACCACCTCCGGCTTACAGTGCATGCATGACACTGTCCATCATAAACAGCACCGTCGGCAAGTGTGCACAACCAATGCTACATGGAAACAGGTTACATGTCTGGTCTTGGACCATCCATCTAACATCAATACTCATCAAGCAGGCCATTCACGATAAAAGGTTTCTAGTATTTGTACTCCATTGTAATTGACGGTGTTTCCAAATTGGTACCATTACTGTTGGTGCAATACAAAATCAACTGTGACAAGATCTATGATGATACGAGAGCTAATTACATCAGTGCTATCCAAGCATGGACAGTATGCGTAATGAAATAAATACATCAACTAAAGCACTGAACTCTCTGATTGCCTTGGATCTGACTAGCACAGGCACAGGCAAACGAACCTTGCCATTAGTCACACAGACACTGCTCTTTTCCATGTACTGGAGATAGTCTCACTACAATGCCAATGATAGTACACGAACCACATATTCATCCATCCACCTGCAGTTGGTCTTGCTAGATGACAGCACTCTTACAAATCACCAAGCCCGTTGTTGTACACACTTGCCATTTCCTCTGCATTTTGGTCCAAAATAATCCAAGTCTTGTTACCCAATATTGGGCTTTCCTCCGGCAAGACACCTTTAAACAGAATCGGTCCAACTTGTACCAACAAAAAAAGCCACCTTTCTTTTTTACAGTGACTTACGAAAAGAAAATGCACTTCCTAAAACCTCTCAAATTTTATTTTACACGTGTTGGGAAAACTATCCACGTCACCACCAGATGAGAATAGATTAAAAAAAAGCACACGCCAAATAATTACACAGCTTTCTCTGTAAATTGAAAGGCTTATGCCATGACATTCCACTATCAGCTGCCCTTCAGTAAACTCAACTTCTTAGAATCAAGGCATGCCCGCATTCTCCTATGACACAGTCGAGTGCAACATCACAAGCAATGAGACAACCCAAATATATATGAAAGCTGGCTAATGGGCACAGTTCTACAGGAAGAAGTTGTGGAATTTAATGGAAGCCATAGAGGCTTTGCATGGTAGCCATCGTGCAGGGCAGTTTTCTTTTGTTCCATAGGGAACCTCTTTTGTGCATACCCTGTGAACAAAAGCACTCGTCTTCAAGATGGCAGCCAAGCAAACCCTCCATTCCTGCTTCCCCATCCCACAAAACATCTGATTTTCCACAAATGTTTTGTGAAACTTTCTGAATCTTCAATCATTTTTGTCCAAGTCTAAAAATTTATTAAAGCATGCATAAGATTTTTTTTTAATGTTTAAAAATACTAACAGCCCCTTCCCCTAGACTTCAGAGTAAAACTGTGCCCAAATGTAAGAGTTAAAATCCAGGAGCAAAAATAAGATATGGAATAAAATGACATACTCTCTTGCGTATCTACACAAGTCTCCTGTCAGAGGCATGCTCTAATGAACAGGTTAAAGGTGGAAAACACCTCCAACACGAACGAATCACCAATCACACTTTTATGAAAATATATAATGATTTTTTTTTATGTTAAATATACATGTACAATTGTACCTAATGATTGTTCAAACGTTCCTTTATTTCATTAGTCGCATTTCATCGTCAGTTGACTTTTTCCTAAGACAACATTACACCAATATGGCAAACCTAGCCAGAAACAATTAACTTGACGGTATTTCTTTGAATAATCACAGATGCACTAACGGTAAATCCCAAGACACAGAAAAAAGTTGTCTCTTATTCTACGTCATTACTTAAACCTTGCTATAACAGGTACATGTAATTTAAAACCAAAATGAAAACACTTTCAAATACCATAAATCACACATGAAACTAGCGTCCAATTCCACTTCATATCTAAAATACAGAGAATTCGTTAAAAAAACTGTAACAAACTGTGCCAGAAAAAAACATTTCAAAAATGCATTTCATTTATTCACACAAAACTAAAGCTACGTCAGCTTTTCTTTCATGCCAAAAAGTAGCTTGTTTCTGGTATGTACACTTTAGTATTTACTCAAAAAGTCTTCACAAAATATTTCCAAATCTATTCACATTCATGTCAATACAAATCCAACAAGGTCAGTTAAATACAACTGACACAGAAAAATGGCATAGAAAGGTTGCACATATTCTACAGTGTGCATACCGGTACATACATGTACATTTAAATGTAGGATTTTAAAACAAAGGAGAAAAGTAAATCTACAGGACAATATCTGAATACTCAATGTACACGTTGTCCAGTCCCAGTTTGTGACCATTTGTTTTATTTCTGAATTATGGTCAAAGACTTGAAATGTTGGCAAAACTAACGTATGTACACAACACAAGCCAAACTCAAACACTGCTCAGAACACAAAAAAGCAATGTTCAATTGTAACAGACTTGGATTCAACCTGTTACACTATTAATTTGAGGACTTTAAAACGTGGATAACAATAAACAGGTAGCCAAAAGTTAACAGTGGCCAATACCATTTTTTCACAGGGGTGTAATAATTTAGGTAGTATCTGCGTGCTCCGACATTGAAACAAATGCATAATTCAGGCTTCTGAAGATGCTATGTATCTTCTTCAAACAGTCACGTTGACAATCTTGTAAACTAGGAAACTATTCAGGACATTAAGTTTAGTTCCCTGACTGTGTCACGGATCACATGCTGCATTCAAGTGAGGCCAGACTGCCACTGCTACCCATCTGGGGCCAGCTCGGAAGGGTGAAATCACGAAAGACTGGATTGGGGCCCATCTCATCCATTGCGGCTATATCTTCGTTCAGGGTGGACGTCGTACTGTTGGAATTATCCCCCAATCCCTGGGCAAGGCTGAGATCATTCTCGGCATCCCGCTCGGAGCTGCAAGAGGTGATCGGGAAACCTACTGCTAATTCGGTGGGACACTCTTGTGGCATGTCACTGACCCAAGACCCTTGACTCTGGGAGGGCTGCTGCAAGTCAGCATTCAGGAGATCATTAAAAGTTGGGTCACTACCTTCAAGGAAATTCTGCTCTGGATTGAAGTCCTCATCTGTGACTTGAATCTCTTGCAACTCTTGGGTAAGGTTGCGCTTAGCTCCAAAGCTCCTGTTGTTGATAGTTACCCCTCTCTGTTCAGCAGATACAGGAAAATTGGATATGAACCTATCTTGGCTCAGTACAACTGGCTGGTAAGCAGGCAGAGGAACACTATGACTGCGCTGGTACTGCTGTGTATTCAGCTCCAAACTGGGATCAAAGCCACGGATGTTCAGATCTGTTAACTCCTCCGGTAAGAAGTTGGCTGTATCTAAAGAGAGCTGTTTGGTCGACTGCATGAAGGTAGCAGGTCCGGATGGATTCCTTTTCCTGTTACCGATGGCACTCGTCACCCAAGGTGTTTGGCTTTGGCTGGGCAGGTCAGGCTTGCCAGCTCCTCGGTTGGTCATAGACTGGCTTGGGTCGGAGAAGACCGTCACAGGTGACGGGGGTGGCATACTTGCAGTATCTGCTTGGTTGTTCCCCGAGACCAAGGCTGGTGATAAGGGGGTTGAGGAACGACTCCCACTGGGAGATGGGGTGGGTGTGATCTGACGGCTGATAGCAGGAGGAAGACAACTTGTACCGTTGGGGTTAGGCCGCCTTGTAGTCCCTGAGCTTCGACGCTTACGAACAGGAGTGACAAAGTTGGCCTGCGGAGTGCCCAGTGTTGGCTTGGGCTTCTGCATGGGCTTAACTGGGTTGGGACTAGTCATGCTGACATCAACTGGCTCTAAGCTCTGCTGGATGGGTGTGAATGTGAAATACACCTGATTGGGGTCGTTGGGGCTCTGGGGAACACTCTCTGTGCCAAGCGGGATAGGCGTGGCTGTATTTGAGTGATGGCTGAAACTGGGCGTGGTACTTTGCCTCCCTTGGCCTTCCACGCCAGCCAGCTGCTGGATACCAGCCACTGGTGTGCCCTGCGCAACACCATTGACAAAGCGGACAGGCTGCAAGGCCGAAATGCCTTGTTGTACCAGTTGATTCCCAAGCTTTTCCATTTCCTGCTTGATCAAGGTATTGGTATTGACAGCTTCTACTGCATCAGGGCCTACCTCGCTGATCTGTGGGAGTGTCATTCGATGCTGGATGGAGGCTACTGACGCCGACTGCACAACCTGAACTGGTGATAAAGCTAGTTTCTTGTTGCCTATCTCCATGGCAAATGGCATCTGAATCACATGCGGTGCTACGCCAGAAGGCTGACTTCCAGTGTGTATTGGGACGCTACAGGTAGGAAAGCTCTGACTGGAGGTTGAAGTCTGTTGAGGGCCTTCTCGAATTGGCTGCTGGTGTGCCATTTGCGGATGACTCACACGGGCTGTCTCAAGACCTGGCGCTGCTAATATGGATATCAAGCCACTGCTAAGTGGTGGCAGATCTTTCTGGACCCTGCTTAATTTAGTTGGCACAGCTGGCATGACATTTGTAAGACTTGAAGAGGAGACCATCGCAGACTTTGACCTCATATCTTCAGAAGACCTACTTTCCAATGAGGCAGCAGAAACTACAGGACTCACACTGTCTTGATTCAGCTGTGATACTGGAGGAGTGGTGACTGTACTGGTCATATTAAAACTTCCCAAATGGGCATTTGCTTTTGCTACCTTACCAGCACCTCTGCTGTCATCCAGACCTTGATCCTTGTTGGCAGTGTTGGACAAGATTGCCAGAAGTGCAGATGCTGAATTGATGGGTATCTGTTTGTGGTCATTTCCGGTGAGGCCTGATTTCAGCCTTCTGTCCGAGGACAGAACACTCAGATCATGATTCCCGGGGATGGGAATACCTACCTGAGCCGACACCGGCTGCCTCTGCATTGGCAAGGTCGAGAAGGTGACAGATGTCGACGTGTTGTGAGAAGCGCACGTTGTTGGAATGGGCACTGCAACTGGATTTGCAGCAGATGATGTCTGATTGATGACGTGCTGGGAAGTCTTCGGTGACTCAGCATACGCAGACCTAAGGAGTACTGTTGGCACGGCCGATGTAGAAGGACAAGTTAGGGTTGCGCTCGGTTGGACAGGGGGTGTAGTGAGGAGATCCTGTTTGCTGGAGAGATTGGATGTAGGGGTCAAAGAGGGAAAAATACCTGAATGAGCGGCACTAGAGCCTCCCTGAGGTGACGCACCTCCTGCGTCTGACTGTAACTGCAGCATGTGAGTGTTGCTGGAGGATGGAAACGTTGTTGTGGGGTCTTTCTGTACCACTGATGCAGTGCTACCAGGCAGCGAACCATTTACAAAGCTTGGACCAAGGCCAGCTGAAGGAGACTGGTTGAAAACCAGCACACCAGTTGCTCCGGGAGGACTCTTCATGAGCTGTCCTGGAGACAAGGGGACTGCGATGATATTCTGAGCTCTTGACGTTCCTGGTGAACTGCTTGACTTGGGTGTCCCGGAGGCAACAAGTTTGGCATTAGGAATGTTCTGGACGAGCTGAATTAACTGAACTCCCTGGGGAAGCTGTTGGACCTTTTGCCCTTTGGAATTCAGAATGGCTCCATTTGGCTGGAAAACCACCACAGACCCATTGGGTACAGGCATTTTCACTGCACCATCTCGCACTGGAGTCTTGGGCTGTATGGGAGTGAAGCGCCGCTTGTTGTTTGGACTTTCCTTGACTGTTGTTATCGTGCTGGCTGCCGAGCCGGAAACCTGCAGCTGGTTACTGTTGTTATTGCTGTTGTTGTTCGTCTGCAACCCTGACTGGGGAGCAAGGCGGCCATTCTGCTCAGCCTGCTGGCTGCCAAAATGGCAGCCGTTGGGGGTCTTGTCCTGCTCCTTAGCGTCGCCTGCGTTAGCATCTGTTCTTGCATTCATTTGCACCTCGTTTGGCATACTGTGGCTCCTGTTCAGCAACTTCCGCTCATCTCGTGCTTTGCTGGCCTTGAGGTGGTCCTCGGCTCTCAGCGCTTGCTGATGACGCTCGGTCTGTCGCAGGTGCTCCTCCTTCATCTTGCTCAGCTGCCGCTGCTGAATCTTCTTCTGCAGCTGGTGTTGCGTCTCTTTCCGGCGCTCCTCCGGGGTGATGGGGAGTTTCCCCATCGCCACGTCCGGCCGCAGCACCTTGGACGAGGCCGAGGAATCCTTGCCTCCGGAGAGTACTGTCAGGGAGGCCACAGAGCTGGAGACTAACTTATTGCTGGCAAGGTGGTGGGCAAGCTCCTCTGTGGTCTGGAAGTGGGTGGCAAAGATTTTCTCCGCCCATTCGCAGATGACGATCGTGCTGGCCAGGTCTGCCTGCTGTTGTTCTTGGCTACACTTGCAGGAGGAAGAACTGTAAGGTACATCATTCTGCAAGACAAGGTGCAAGGCCAAAGAAAGTTCTTAATTTAACCAGAAGTTTGAACTTCATATTAAAGATGTGTTCAACACAGAATCGAAGGAAAACAAACTTAAGATCAGCACAACACAAGTATGTATGACAGGATGAAAACAATATCATTTCCTCGTCGGATGTTCATGTACAAAGGACAGAAATTACTGCCTCAACTGAAAAGAATCTCCACTGTCATTTCACAATTTATTGCACAATCAATAAAATATCACAGTCCTCACTTTTAAACAGCAAATGCATCTTCCCACCTTTTGCAAAAAACAAATAAGCCATCAAGAGCACAACTCAAGATGTTTAATAACGGACAAATGCACAAAGTGAAACAAACAATTTTTCCTATCCAACAAAGTAGGTGCTTTGTTCGATTCTATCCACTGTGGTATGTTTCCATATTTAGTCACCAGGGAAGTGTTAGTATACACGAACAAACAGGAAGCCTGTGTTTAGGCCAATTGAAATATACGGAACCTTTTCATTCATGTATTTGCACAAATCATCCAGAGCTGTAACGCTTTTTCAAACATCAGACATACATTATGTCAATCTCCAATACTCACTGGTCCCGTTTTGCGTGGTGATTCCATGCTTGGCAGTAAAGGTGGCTGGATTTCGCACTTCTTGCGAAGGCCGCTATAGCAATACGTTGGAGAAGTTAAGGGCAAATAGATATTAGACTTTTGTTCATGGGTCAGCAATACTGAAAATTGAAAGCGAGGTTTACTTTTCATTTTTGAACTTGAGTAGAAATGAAATTAACAAAATGATTTTTCATGGTAAAGAAGTACCTGTCCGATTGGACAAATAACTTCAAATTTATGACCAAACATACCTTAATTTATGAGCCAGACTAGAAAAATACTGAAAGGAAGGCAATCACATAAAATAGTCTGGTACCACCCAAGCAAAAGTTTCCAATTCATACATGTAAGACAGACTTAGGGAGCTATTGGGAACACTGCTTCCTTGTGAGTAAGGTCCACCGTGTTCATGTGGAACCAAAACAAAAAACTGAGATGCAAACCAACACAACCAATTCCAACCTCTAAAATAATCCTGCAAAGCCTCCTTGTATTCTGGGGGAAAAGAAATACGTTTTGAGAAATAATATTGTGCAGAGTTGAAGAGGAAGAAAGATAGTAATTGCATGGAAGAGATTTTTATATATGATTAGACTGAATTTATTGGGAGGGAAAAGTAAAAATAAGCAACACGTGTCCTGAAACTGTTAATAAAGATTGACCGTTTTTGGTTCGTTTTGAATGAACGTTGCTTTTGACAATAGATGGTGCAATGGACACAGGCAGGAAATAAAATTGAACAAGGCACAAACGCTGGCAGACAAAGGATATTTGGCATTGCCACGGGTGCCAAGGCGTCGCTGTTTCACTTGGGGAAAGACACTCTTCATGATCTTGCCAAAGTCAGCGGGGCTCAACACTCGACGAGTAGCAGATTCACAATGCATCCTGTCAGAAGACAACAAAAGGACGAAGAAAAAAGGTACGTCAAGAAAAAGGAAGCAGTCAAGAGTCATAAGTACGGTAACAATCTGACAGAAAATAAATGAATAAGAGTATACTCTGACCACTGACTCTTTTCTGTGCAAGAACCTCTTACAGTGCTTGTATAAGTTTCCGTAGTAATTTCTAGAAGGAGGGGCATCATCATATTAAACAGTGAATGGAAATAAATGACAGAGTAATGGGGTGGCTTTCAGCTTAAAGAGTGGTTAGAAGCACCAAGGCAACTGTAGTACAAGACCACAAGTTCAGAAGTTCAAATAAGGAGTAAATGAAGTTTTCACAATACTACTGTTGGAGACTTGAGCAACAGTGACAGTGTTGAAAACTGGATCGGTATGCCACTTTTAAAAGCAATTTTTGTACATTTAAAAGTAACCCTGCTAAATGCAATGTATCTGTCATCAATAGTTACAGCTTACTGCAGGATTCTGTAAACAACGCAAATGGCAAGAACGGACTGCAGAAGTGCACAAGGCCAAGGCCGCTGCGCATCCTGAACGCTGCAAGATGCCACAAAGTCCACTGATATGCATTTAGCTTGGCTGTCACTTGAGAGGTACTGGATTTCCACAGCGCCTACATGTATATCTAGGGACTCTAGAGAAAACCTGGAGGTGAGGGTACAGATCCATCTAGGAGACAGAATTACCGCAGAAGCATCACACTCACGCATTCTGGGATTTGGGGGAAATCACAGCACCATTTGGGTCAAAGAAGGATGTTACGTGTGTGTGTGTGTGTACCACCTGTCCACGAACATAATGTCACCACAGTGACGCTTCCTATTTCGGTCGCTGAAGTAGTCTACAAGTACCTCCATATAGACAAATCTGATAAGACGCCCTAACTGCGGGGGCACCGCACTCACACGCACATTCTACAGCTTGACGCGTGCATGCATTTGGCAAATCACGACATCCTATTGGTCGAAGAGGCATGCAACACGCATGTACCACCTGTCCACGAGCGTTGTGCCACCGCAGTAATGGCTTCTAATTCTGGTGGTCAAATTACACTAAGCCAGGAAATGTACGTACATGTACCGGTAGGTGCAAGTATGAATACCGAAAAATACACTGAAGTTCTAGCCCAAGTATCAAATAAGAAACATCTATCCCCAGTGCTACATATAGCCGTTAGACTGGAGTGACAATACATGCACCTGTGGTAGAGATAAACATGCCTAAAATGTCCACATCAATTTGTGGCATACCGATATTCTTCGTACACTTCATGTTTAGGGAGCGATGTGTCGCTGCACTCTTCGAGGTGACTGCGGATCCAATTGGATGCCTGGGTTTGTTCGATGCGCGTGACCGCTAGCGAGGGAGAGGGGCTGGAAACAGAAGCATTGAGTCAAGACAATTGAGAATTTGGTTCACGAATATTATTAAGAAGGCCCTGTAGCACATCAAATAAAATCAAGGTCAAGGAGGAGGAGGAATTCCACTCCCTCTAAGTGTTTCTGGACTTCCGGTAATTATTTCTGAGTTCATCTGCAAAGTTTCATTTCAATCTGACAGAGGGGTGTGATGTACAGTAGTAGTAAGCAACAGCCCAAGCACTGAGTGCGTCAATGGAAAAAGTTCCTATTTAGGACCGACCTGTCTTGGAAAAATAAGCATTTTGCAGGACTGACACCTGTACAATGTATGTCAAATTCTCATAAAAGTGGTATTGAATTGAACACTACGGCATTACTCAAAAAAAAACCACATTAAGGTCCCCGAATGATAAAATGAAATGCTTTACTTTGATATCAGAGAAAATGTACATATGGAAGATGCTTATAGCCCCCTCCCCCTTGTCGTTTGCTCTTTTAGGGTTAAAGTTGAAGAGCAATTGAATTCTCTCCAGGTACATGTAGTTTGGTGTGTTTCCATCCCAATCTGCAAGACAATGTACCCGGTAGTAGTACAATGTGCATCCGATTCCTTGACTATAAACACACCAGGAGTCTAAAGGCATACACCTGGCACTGACATGATACAATGTACAGGTGTACATGTCTACAGATCAACCATCTCACCTTTTCAGCCGGTTGGAATCGAACCCGTTAATGCCCGTTGGCAACTTCAGGTACAGAAGCAGCTTCTCAAGGTCGTTGAACTTGTTCACTTCAGCCTGGAAGGAGAGGTGAACAGAGGTGGAATGTAAGAAAAGCACATATCCGGACACACACACGATTGGACACACGTGTACCATGTACATGCTATGAAAAGTACTCAGTAGTTACACAGAACATGCAGAGAAAATGTCATCGATCTACATGTACCGGTAGATGCGTACAGTATGCAGAAATGTCTTCAACAAAAATGATTCCTTTTTGTCCGAAATTTATCAAATTACTTGTACTTTTAATGTGTGGTAGAGAACTCTTTTGCTGATGTACCAACATAACCGGTAAGTTGCCATCACAAGAAACACACACTCAAGCTGAAATGGCTTTGGCCCATTCAACAATTGGGAAAAACTGATTTGTAAAATGTTGAAAATGGTAATACACAAAACCTGCAGAACTCAGATTGGACAAATTTGAATTTTTATTTCTACTTCCTTTCGATTGGTATCACAACACTTTTGCTAACTAAGTACCGGTACATATCTCTCATTTGTCCTGATAGTTTACTTTAAAATAAAGACAAGGAAATACAGTACTTTAGTTGAGCAACGAGTATCGGAAAAACAACTCTGATGGTTTAAACTTCCGACAAGGAAGAGCTTTACCAATATTTTATTAGCAAAGAATGGCTAGTACAATTTGTTTTAAAGGAAAACTGTACAGGGTTGATCACTTTTTCTGAAAAAATACCCTATGTATTATGACATCTTTAAAATAAATCACAATGAGTTGGACGTTGCCAGAGCTGTTTGGATTCAAGGCCTTTTTAATGTCAAGAAAATCACAAATAAACTGGCATTTTACTGACACCTGGTACAAACTGTACCCTTAGGGGTATCAGATACCTGATTTTGAGCCCAATTTCTGAACATTATTCTTGTAACTTTCAAACTGTACAATACTTAAACATCAAACATCTTGGTTTGCAGTATCATAGAAGAAACAAAATTTAAAAACACGTATATGAAATTGTGACACAAAACACAACTGCCAAAAAAACTACAAACATGAAATCATACACACAGAAAAAAAAATCACAAGTTAATCACAAAAGGAGTTAAAAAATCGCAAAAAAAATTAAGACAAAGCAAATCCTCTCCCCCAATCACAAATTTTTTCATCATAATCAAACATAAAAGAGCGAAATCAGAAAACTAGG